GCCACAAATTGTGGAAAATGATATAACGAAAGAACTGCCAATAATTCCAGAATTATGGCAAGTCATTTGTAAGTCATCTCTTATGGGTCTCTACTCTGCGCAAGAAAATTTTCCATTCTCAAGCAGAAGAATATAGTTTGTGTCAAACAAGGTTCCACTTGGCGTCAGTAAAATTAGGGTGTATATCATTCTAAAAAGAAGACTTAAAGAATTTTCCTTGTTATCTTGAACCCTCCACCCAAGTCATTGTGCACATTGATTTTATGAAAGGTGAATGCTCTCTCAACTTTCATCCAGACATTTTTATTAGGTTCTAATCGATCATGCCTTAGAAGTGATACCTTATTGATTTTTTACGCATGTTTTTCTACTTTAAAAAATATATCGTGGTTTTAACAAGCATTATAAATAAAGGAAGCATAAAAATAGAATGCAAGTTTTTATTTAATATTTGTGCGTGAAACACGATGCATTTAAAGTCTGACGGTTTATTGTCAGAACAGTGTCCTTATGCAATTGGTTCCGTTTGATTTGTCACATTCACTTCCGCAGGTTGACATCAAGGAAGGAATTTTATTTTATTTTATTTATTTTATTTTATTTTTATTTTCCGAAGTGACAAGGAAACAATCTGGTAAATTCAGCTTCTTGTTGATGGAATCCTTCTTGAATAGAGTGGCTTTACATGCCACTTCTAGTTAAAAGATGCTTTGGCCTGTTTTATGAACTTCTAATTTTTAGAAAGTTTAGAATCATTGTCAAATTTGGTTGACATAAACAATGGGTTTATTTAGATTCTAATTGATGTTTGGTTCTGTTTTATTTCAAATTTATAAAAAAGAAGCAATTGCCAGATCTTTGCATCCTCAATGATATTTACTTTCTAAACTTTAAGAAAATTTAAAAAACGCAATTATTTAATGTCCACTGCCAATATGAAAAAAATTGGTTTGAAGTGTGGTATAGACGGCCGCTCTGCAGGAAAATACTATCCGTCTTTAGAAAAATCATACTTCGTGGTAGTAAGCCAAGTTGATCGATTATAAAAGAAAACAGCCATAAAAAATAGTTTGAATTAATGTTTTCCAACTTGAAGGGTGAAGTTTAAAGTTTGGCAAAGCTTTCTCGATTCTAACAATGGTAAATCAGTACGACAGATAATAAAATCAACTATTTGGTTTATTAGTAAATCTGAGGTTGAAATTTGAAGTCGGTAGCTCTGGAGTAGTCGGATGTATTGAATGAAATGTCCCGAATAGGGTAAAAGAAGCATCAAGGAAAGAAAAACGGGTTAGAAGGTTGACCATTTCATGCATAATTTGTGCTTATTCTATACTATTGAATCATATCTACTGATTAAATGGCCAACTAGATCCTACACGTCCAAAAAGATTCTTCATTTCATTTTACAATACGCCATTAATCATAGGATGGTGCTTGCCATTTCACACATTCTTCAACTAAGAAACAAGGAAGAAATCAAGGAGATACAGATTGAATTTCAGGCTTGAAATTCTTGCTTTGTCGGATTCCCCAAAGAGGTGAATATTCCTCAAAAGAGGCACTTTCATGGTCTAATATCCACGTGTGTAGAAATTTGAAGTTATAGCTACCTGGTTGATGAATGAGGTCGTTACCACGAAATTGAAGTTAATAAAATTTTGTAGCTATTCCTTGTTACTTCATTTTTTAGTATCCTCATTGAAACGCCGAATAAGCGGTTGCTAATTTTGTTTAATAAGCTCCCAAGATAAAGAAATAAGGAGTGTTATTAGATTAAATGGCCAAAACAATCAGATTCATTACGGTTCATTGACCCTTCTGTTATTTCTTTTTTGTTGGAAATTCAAACGCCTCTTCCATAAAGAGGAGATAATAATCTTTCAACGTTATACATTTTATTTGAAAGCGCTGACAGAATTCTGTCAATAATATTGTNTTTTCCCAATACAAATTGAAGCGATCTTTCAAAGTCATTTGGCATAGTTGCAAAAAATGCAGAATAAAATTAAGATATTTCGAGGATATCTTAAGGCGTTTCAAGAATTATGCGTATAATCTTACGTATTCCTTTCACACCCTTCTTTACGACTTAAATATTTGTTTTAATTTGAAATTATTATCAAAGTCTGCACGATTCTTAATAGGCTTCGTTTCATCTATGGAAACGATTCGAATGTCAAGATTTTGATCAAATGCTTAGCTGAACTCTTTTAATAGTTGCATTTTAGTTTCTTAACTTTCTGAAAGTCTGAGAAAATTTCTTCAAGAAATATCCTTAAATATGTGTGATAAATGAAGTTCAGACTCTCCTAATTTGTTAAAAAATTTGAAGGCTCGTTAATCTCGTTCAACTTTGTATGCGAGCACAAAAAATACATTAAAAGATACTATTTGTTTATTCGCACTCATTGTTACACATCACCTTTCACCACCTTTCACCTTAATTTGCTTTAGCATTTCTGCTGAAAACTTTTCCCAATAGGATTGTAATTAAAATAATACCGATAATATAGGATAATGAAATGCGAGAACTAGAATTGCACTTTTACCCAGAGATGAGAATTAAATTAAGATGAGAAAATTGGGTTGCACTAACTTTGAACGCTGATTCAATGTGGATTTAAACGCGAATGGTCATATTTAGCAAAACACGTTCAAGGCAACTAAATTTTTTGTCAAAATAGCAGGTGGGTCCATTACTAATCGATTACTGACCAGTCATATTTTGTTATAAATCCTTTTTGTTCAATACATCGAGCTTGTAAAGGTGATATGGGTCATCACACGGTCGTGTTTTTCCCAATTTANTAAACAAAGCAAATATGATTGAAACGAACATTTCAATTTAAAGGTGAGTGAATAATGCAGAAGAATTATTGAAAATATCTGAAAGCAATAAACGCTGAATATCAATAAACTTATTAAAAATAACTCGATAGATAAACATACATATTGATGGTAAATGGTTTGGTTTTAACTTTTTAGTACTTTGAACTTCCCTAACTATGCCATCACCGTCTTTTTTTCATTCATTTTTGGCTTTTTTAAATATCCATGCTCAAATGTAGCCTGGCTTCTAAAATTCTGGTGCATTTCTACATAAACCAGTTTCCGTAAATTTTTAGGCATAAAGTCGAATGATGCAAAAATGAATGTACATTTGACTAATTTGTTGTAAATAAAACTGACAATGCTCAAATCGAGGTCAATTAATACTATAATGCATCATCTTAAATTATAGATGCTAATGAAAATTGAAATGGGAATTAAAGAGTGGAACTTATTGTATTTGCATAAAATATGTTCATAGTAGGATGCGATATTGTGAACTAAAACTATTTAGTGAACATTTATTTATTTATATCAAATGGCAGGCGTTTTGAAAGTTATCATTAGCCCTGGAGCTGACTTCACAGAGAGGAGGAGGAACATCAAAGTGACAAAAAGTCGAGAGGGGAAACAGAAGAGTGATTCACAGATGTAAAAGGGAGACGGACAGGCACAAAGGCATCAAAAAGGTAAGATGAGTACTGTGAAGTGGTGGAATATGATATACAATGGGGTGATGGTAGTTTGAAGTGAGAAGTCAACTGCCGGTTAATAGACTTTTGCTGTATGAGTATACGTTGTCCAGGGTGCACCACGTGGAGGTAAGTCTATCGCACACCCCAGACCCATAATTATAAGATTAACTAAAACTGCCCATAATTCAAATCAAAACTAATCCACATGAATATACAATATACACGAATAAGAATTGACTTATCCTCAGTAAACTCTCCGACAAGGTCCCCTCAACAATATAGAGGAAACTGACGTATGGCGTGGGCCACGTTTATTTGGGCCGTGTGCCACTGACACGGAGGTTAGTCAGTAAATAAATTTTGGCTACACTGATCATGTGATCATTGATTGGTGATTGACTGAGAGGTCTGCGCACTCACGACCGCACACGCCTCCCAACGCACTTGATGGCGTTAGTGTTGTGTTCCCCACCAATCCCAAACTGTCATTTTCGTGCTTCTTGATTACCCATTTTAAAATAAAATCTACCCTCTTCAACTTTTCTCCCTCTCAATCTTCTAAATTTTCCAAAGCAGCTATACAGTGCATTTAAAGACGTTGAACATTCTTGAATTTGTGATTTTAGAAGAGAACTAAACAACTGTAAGAGAAAAACTTTCCAACCCGACAATATGCTAATTTTCGGACGCGTGTTTTTTTTCACAGAAAATTTCATTGAATAATATTTGATTGTTTTCCGTATGGGTTAAAATTATTCACATACTTAGACTTACCTCCACGTGGTGCAGCCTGGGCAACGTATACTCATACGGCAAAAAAGTCCATTAACAGGCAGTTGACTTCTGACTTCAAACTACCCCTACTGTATGCCATATTCAACCCATTCACAGTACTCATCTTACCTTTTTTCTGCTCTTTTGTCTGTCTCTGTCACATCTGTGAATTATTATTCTGTCACCCCTCTCGACTATTTGTCACTTTGATGTTCCTCCTCCTCTCTGTGAAGCCTGAAGTCAGCTATATGGCTAATGATAACTATCAAAATGCCTGCCATTTGATATAAATAAATATTTGATCGTTTTCCGTATGGGTTAAAATTATCCACATACTCTCCGCATCTCTTACTAAACTGAAACCCCATTCATTCATATTCGTGATGCCACAAGAATGCATGACTGACACCTACCTGACTCATGATAATGAGGAAAAATTCAAGCTTAGTGGCTCGTATGTGCACTCAAGACTGGGTGATAATGAACTCTGTTCATTGCTCAGAGAGAAGTGAATAGGGGATGTCAGCCAATTTTCTCCACTACGCTAGTTCCCGCATTTGGTCTTCGATCTTCTCAGAACTAAATCCGGTGGGCTTTGTATGTATCAATGGTTGTGGAGAAAGGCACAAATTTGCATGCCAATGGTATGAAAGCCACCCTATTAATGGACAGAATTGAAGCGGTTTTTGAGACATTTTCCAGGGTAAGCGTCTGATCACCTTGCTCCAGTTCCTAAGACTGGAAACGATGTCGGATTGTGGCCGCAGTAGATGCTAACGGGGTTTAGTTGGAGGGAAGCTCTTTGACACTCGTGCCTATTCTATGTATAAATTTTGTATTTGCCAACAACTTTTATCTCTCCTAGAGGCAGTGAAAAAAGTTATCCTCAACACCCTGTATGTGAGTTCAGTTTTTACTATTTCCTCTTACTGAGTTCGAATTTGCGGTATTATTTTTGCTAGAAAACTATCTAATAAATTCATAACTTGAAAAGTTATTATTTATTGGAATATATTAAACTATTAAAGATATTTATTAAAACAAAATTCAATCCTTCCATTTAGACTGATATAACATCAGCTACGAAGGCCTTCATTGATTCGACGTCCAAAGCACTAGGACGTTCAGATGCACCGCCAAAGTTCGAATCAAGGGGAGGAACTAGACGGGACGATGCTGCATTGCAAAATCTACAAGCTAGATGCCGACTAGTTGCCGGTTATTTCACATCTCAGCTTTTGCCTCAGCAGTCATGTCCACCTCTACTCGTGCTTAGTAGTGGCAACCTCGATGAGGCGCTGTGTGGCTCTCTTACAAAGTATGGACTTCAGGCAAATTAATACATTATTTTACTTTAATATTATAGTACCCAATACTAATTACTTTCATATTGTATACTGTAGATATGACTGCTCTAGTGCAGATTTAAATCCTATCGGTAGCATTAGTAAAGAGGATCTTCGGTGCTTCTTGGCGTACTTCATCACTAATGTCCGAACTTCCGAGTGTTCTCAATTCTGCGAATTGGCTTCGGTGCTGAATGAGATTTTGGAAGCCCAACCGACTCCTGAGCTGACACCACTTGACGCGGAGCAGAACGACGAGACTGATATCGGATTAACTTACTCCGAATTGTTGCAACTTGGAACCCTTCGCAAAAAGGAAGCTCTAGGACCAGTTGGAGTGTTCAAGCGCTTCATGGAGTTGAATGAAGTCAAAAATAAATTGGACGCTTCGGTTGCTGCAGATAAGGCAAAAAGTCTAATTTTACTGCACATTTTAGTAGCCTGTTTTCTAAAATGTATTTTTTGACGGGTACTAGCGTTACTTTCGTTGACTGGTGGTTAGATTTTTATTCAACAATAAGTTCAAATTACCATAAGGTCCTTTAGTTAAGTTTAACTAGCAATTCTTGTGGCTAATGGAACTGGTTTATGTAAGCATCATTAAAGATAATAGTTGGTAGGTGAACAACTTTGTGAAGTTCACTAGCAATTTTCGATTTCCTCCTCTCAGAAGGCATGACATTTATTATCATGCCTGCATAACACGTTGAATGGTCATGAAAAGGCTCTTCAAAACTGAGCACTGAGATTAAGTCTGAAATGGAAAAACGGGATTACCACGGACATGTCCTTCTCCTATAAATCTAAATATCCTAATAGAAAATATGCATTTAGGTGAAGCTCTTCTTCCGAAAGTATTCTGCAAATCGTCACAAGTCAACTGTTCTTCCACCGTCTCTTCATATGGAATCCTACAGTGCTGATGATAATCGGTAGGCCAAAGCATTAACTCCATTATCACTTAAGACTATTTCAATAAATGAACATTTTTTTTCTCATATTCTATTAGATTTGATCTCCGACCTTTCCTCTACCGCCAAGACTGGCCCCACCAATTCGAGAAAATGGATGAAATCGTGGCTAACATGCAGAATTGATTCAGCATTTAGCCGCCATTTCGGATCTTGTAGGATTTTAGTCAATTCCAATTTAGCTATCATATCAAATTCAATGCAATAAATATTCCATTTTGAATTTACAAAAGCGAATAAGTTTTGTTAATAAAATTGTAAGTCTGAATTGGATTTTTTCGTTGTAGTTAAACCATGGCTTAAAGCGATTGATGAGAATGAACAAGCACGATGTACATCAATTTCAAGCCCTCAACATAAAAAAGGTTCCAGTAATGCCAGTTTGCTGTTGATGGGGTGTCGCAAAGCCAATAGATGAATTTGAAATTCACTATAGATAAAAATGGCTTGGGAGAGCAGTAGAAGCCTGCTGGACTAGAAAAAGTATGAAGGATTAGAGGGGCAGGCATTCCATATTAGGCAAGAATGGGCTAAAGGGTTGATGAGTGCCATGTGAGAGAGATAAGCATGGGATCAGAAGAATAAAGGGGTGGTTGATGGGATGTGCGCACAAGGGTGCTTCAAGCGCGTGCCCAAGCCAACCAGCTGTACGTCCTCAAATGTATATGCTGAAGCCAATGTGAAATGGACTATTGGCAAAATTGACAATGGTGGTAATAGGGCTTCATGAGTTCTTTATTTAATGAATTAATAAGTGCTCAGTACTACTCGTTCTACCCATCGCTGTTAGTATTTGCGAGATTTCAATAAGGCTTTGGATGAATTATTGAGGAGTTCTGATCCTTAGGAATGTTTATCCACCCAATGTTCTTAGAGCATTAGTTTCATATATACCACATAGAGAAGAAATTATTATTCAAATGGCTTATGATAGTTTGATGAAAGTGTAAGATGATAAGAGTTAAGTAAGCTATAACATAGAGCTACCGTAGTGTACTCTAAAATAAGAAAGGCTGGACCTTTAAGTCCGTGACGAGCAGTTCAAAACCCACTCAGGGAAATTGATTGGTTGGTCAGAACTTTCTCACACTTCCAAACATGTTAAAAGCAATCGCAAACACTAAATGAGCTAAATGTTGATTTTCCAGTGCATTCAGGAGAGCGTCTCACGGTAATTGACAAGGATAGAGAAAGAAATTCTTGTGGAAAGTTGAAAACTACAGCAATTCTAAGACCAGTATTAGCTAGTTCGCACACGATGACTGGGATTGATTTTAAGCTTTAGAAGTGTAGCCAAATACGTACACTTTATACAAAGGAAAATGACACAACTGAAAACTCCTTAACTGAAATTTAATCAAATATTCAGAAAACTTCAAGTCATACTTTTGATTGGCAAAACGCTCGTGGCGAATAAGTTGGACAAAAAGAATTGCTCTATCAGATAAAAAAAGTTCTATAGAGCAACTAAAAAAATTCATCCAAAAGTGCTAACACATGTAGATGAAAACATAGGTAAAAATAATATTCAGAGGAGTAGAGTCATACGTTGAGAAGGAAATTAGAATGGGTGAAGTGGATCGAGCACCAAAACCACACTGAACTTCGCATTTCAGCATCACCACAACCGCCATATCACATCAGTCAAATGCCTTTCCTTCCACAAAAGGACTTTTGAGCATTTAACATCATTATTCGACAGAGCGGAGCCATGGTAACACAAATTAATGTGATTACGAAGGGATGAATTTGCAGCCAAGGCGTTTAGCCTCATCCACCGATATTCCTAGATCGACGGAAGCATACTCTGCTGCTGCTGCCACCTGAATCACCCATCAAAGGGAAGTATTCACCTAAAAGTACACACATTCTTCCAATTTTATTTAAAATAAAAATGGATTAAAAACACGTTGGTTAAAATCATCTGGTATATACAATTAGATAGAAATATCACGAAGTAAATCAAGAAAAAGAGTAACGAGACAGCATTTTCACTTATAGTAGGAAATTAATTGCAAATCAAATTAAAACAATTTAATACTTGAGCAAAATATAAATTGCAAAGTCACTGAAGTAAGACAAAATTATTGGGGCACAAGTTAAGAGGATATAAGATTTGCGTAGAAAGTCGAAAGGCGCTGAAAACTCAGAGGAAGGAGGGAAATGACGCATCAAGATAAATTTTTGCGACCTGAAGGGCAAATATTTGGACGAGTCTTCATTACAAGAAAAACTGCAGTAATTGTGATCATCAAGAAATTAATTAGAGACTTTACAAATTATAAATAGGCGCAAGGCAAATATGTTCAATAAAGAGAGATATTAACTTAAAGCTCAAAATTGAATTACCTGAATCCATAAGAAGTTCTGCCTTAGGCGGTTTGACACGTTTCGTTTTATTCTGAGTCCCCTGAAAGTCTTAAATATCAAAATGTGGATTTACTGTTTGCAAGTTAAGATCATTTGAGATTGAAGTCGATGGATCTTCTTCCTTTTCCTAAATGCATAATAATAGAAAAAAAACAAAGAAAATGCAACTTTTTCGCGTTTTTTCCTTTCGGCATCGAAACGCTCCTGCAAACGACGCCTAGCCTCTCGAATTTCTTCGTCATAATCGCGTTCATTAGCTACGAGAACGAAATAGAAAAAAATTAATATAGCTGAAAATTCAATTTTTACTAATACTAGCTTCGTTAAAAGTATGTTCTCATTTAGAAAACCCAAAGATCAAATGAAAAATCTTTAAAACTTCTTCTCTTAAGACATTTTATATAATTCCTACCCAGCTTTACACTTTATTGGGTTACTGCTGGTGATAATAATAATATTGACATTTCATACCTGCAATGGTTTGTCTTGCAACCCTGGCACCAATCGCAGCCGAGAAACGTTGAAAAAGGAAATAAGTAGCAAACAAAAGAGCAGCAATTATCAATTTGTAAAAGAAGGATTCACCGACTGCGAAGATTCAAGATTTAGTAAAAATGTTGATATACCTTCAGGTATATTTGCCTGTGGGACTTCATAATCATCCTCTATTTCAATTTCGACATCCATCAAGACGAGGCAATTAGGGATTGAAACAGATATTAGTCACATAAAATGTGCCATTGGGATTTCAGCAATCATAAGGACATTGAGTTTGTTGTTAGATAATATTTCGAATAAACAATAAGATTAAATTTGTAATTCTTTGTAATCTATTCATATTAATTTATAGAAAAAGCGTTTATAACTTCAGACAATTATGGCTGTTACTTAAAACAATAAGAATTTCTGAATTTAAATAAATAAAGAAGAATTTTAAGTTCAATTTTTTCCTATTCTAATATTAGACTTATACAACATGTGACACATTTGCGAATTTTCGAATTCCGTTATTTCGATTGGAGCAATGCGTCTTAGTTCATTTGCATTTTTCTTTTTGCTCATAGCATATGCTCAACTGTCGCTTTCGGAAGATAATTTTATTGTTCGCGAAGTTACAATTAGACCAGGTGGTGTTGCAAGATCTGAATCGGTTGAAGGAGTGAGTGACTTTATGCATTCGACTTTTTAGTTTGGCATAACATGCAAATTTGACTATACCTGCCAAGGTGGAACTGGTGAGGAATGGCATTTTACGATGGTCCGCTCAAATGAATTAAATAGAATCACCTGCCATATTCAACGTCCTACACAGTCAACGAGTTATTTATTCTTCCAGAAGTTTGCTCTCAGTGTTAGTGGACCAGCAAAAGTAGTTACCGGAACTGCTTATGTAAGTGTGATTTGTAGTTTATGAGCCCTTAGGCTGATCAAACAAAATTAATGCCAAAAGAAGAATATGTACTGGATCTAAGCAAAAATGAACGTATGTTGATACTTGTATTAAAGTACCTCTTTTAGTTTCACAAAACGATGCCAATTTCGCCGGTCATTTAGTTCACGCGATTGTTGAATTCGAGTTGAGATCGGAGTTGTAAATGTTTGTGCCTTGTCTTTCCTTGACTGTTTGATCTTTAATTTGGAAATAAATAATCTTTGTTCGGCTCTTACGTTGTTTATAAGCATTTGACGATTTTTCTGCAAGCATTTGTTAAGGTAGCATTAGACTTTATTGTTCTATATTTGTAATACCCTCTTTGCTAGATACTTGGAATCGAGCTATTTTTATTATTAGTTTTGTAGTTTTTGTAAATTCTTTGGCGCAAACATTTCTTTTCTATCTCCTCACAGCATCAACAAAATTGCTATCATTGTTGTCTTCTTTTTTTCGGTGCTCACTTCATTTATTTTGAATCAATCATTTTCTGTTGCTCACTACGTTTTAGCTTTTCTACTTTGTTTCATTTTGTAAATTCCTAATTGAATTATCTTTGTATACGTTGTCCAGAGTGCACCACGTGGAGGTAGTCTATCGCACACCCCAACTACCTTTCCATAGTATTTTATATTTTGCTTTTATACTCTAGATTTCACCAGTGGTTTACCTTACAGTTTAAGGTCTTTTAGCCCGTTTGTCATTTATCGAGTTTTTAGAATTCATTACTGATAATACAAAATGCTTAAGGATGACGATAGTGCTTGGTTGGGGTACTTATTTTGATATGGGAAGTTACAAGAAACCACAGTGGGAATTAGTGGTGACATGCTTGGTGTGTGCCCGGAAAATGGGTGACAATTAGTTCAGAAAGAGAAGTTGTTGGTGGCATGCGCTCTAAGCCTTAATGGATTCACCCCTGTCATATATTAAAACCTTTGATCGGCGGTTACTGGCGTCCTCAGTTAGGTCTCTTTAATTCTACTGGAACATAACTATTTTCTGTTATTCAATGAACATGCAGGCTGTTGATTTGTTTTCTAGTAAATTATGCCGTACCATGTACGGTTGAGTAAGGCCATTGAATAGTTAATCACAATTTTGTAGATCCCATTATTTAAAAGTTACGGAGATCATGTTTAAGGTTTTGGCTAGGTCTTGAATGATTATTTTGCTTGGATGATCCCAGTGTCTTCTAGTAAGTTAACGAGGCGGCAAGATATGTATCTTGCAGCAAGAATGATTGTTCCAATCTATTTAACCTTGGCTTATGAACTTCATGCCTTCAATCTCGAGGGGTTATAAATGTGGCTTCATTTCCTGCATAATCTCAAATGGTTTGTTATCTATTGGCTGCGCAAGAAGATTAACAGCATCTTTTCATAGTGATCATACTTTCCATGCTTATAATTGAATGCAACACATTTATTGCTGGATATCATAATTGTAGCTGGTCTGGGCAAGATAATTCTGTACTGGGGGAATGGTGGGATAAAAAACGTACCCTCCTTTCTCGCCGTCAATGTTCTCTTGCTAAGTGTGTACAGGGGACTCGTGCTTGGACAAAAAGCCAACTTTCTTTTGGAAAGCACTCGATTGACTTTGAAAAATGTAGGACAGGCTCAATGCGCCATTCATGTATAGAAAAAAAGAAATCACGTAGGTATTTTGTATTCCCTTCTTTGGTACTTCTAAAAGTAATGGATCTTTGATTTCGATGGAGGGGGGGGGGGAATAACTGATCTTTAGTTCCGAAAGTTGTTATGCAATCGATTTAGGCAGCTTCTCCAAAGTTGCATCGAACTTAGTGAAGATATAATACGTAATACCACTATGCTTCAACCAATTCCATCTTCTTAGTAGGCATCTGAGCTATATGGGCGCCTACTTCTGAGACTTACATCGGATCTTAAGAGTGAAGATTTTTATTCATTTGGATCTTCGTAATCTCGTACTTCAACAGCCAGTTTACTCTCGCCTGAATGTAATATATTGCATGCATCCGGGTATATCACTTTCAAAGGATTCGGTGTTTCCATCACTTTTTTTAGTTAAAGCACGAATACTTAGCTCACGCGATGAATCCAATCAACTGCTTTTGCACTTTTATGGAAAATTTGCCCTCACAGAAGCAACTCGTAGATCACCCATATTCCTATTAAGAATAGGAAAACCGTTGCTCATCCTATTTTGTCCCCACGATTTATAAGCATCATGACCGTTTGGAATAGCTTTACGCTTTGTTAACTGGGGAAAATATGTAATAAAAACATCTTAATATATTAAAACCTTTTCTCTTCCCGCTGGAAATATCGTTATTTACGTTCTCACAGCATTTTGATTACCCTAATTCCATGAAGTACCTTACTAAATCAGGCTTGTAACTGTGGAAAACGACAAGCCTGTCTCGGATTTTCGAATCCAATTGCCTTAAGGTAAATTCAAGATAAAAAGGAAGCTAAAGTAAATTGACAGAGCCCACGTGCTGTGCTGAGATACATTTGTTAGAGTAGTTACATCCATACAGATAAGTGTGCACCAATGGTTTGGAAGAAGGATATCATGGAAGGCACCCGATTTATGGAGGCTCGAGGTTGAAAACCAACAATCAATCCACTTAATGCAATTAACTTTTTAAAGTAATGGCAATCCTCGTTACACCTGGGAGGAAGAGAAAGGCGAAAGGCAATGGGTTGCATTAAGCTTCTATTCATAGAACATGGGACGACTACATCACCAACCTCCCGTGTTGCCAAAGTGCCAACCCCAACTACCTAAGGTCAGAGGACGAGAGAATAATAATGGAGTGCACGGATAGACCGTATTTGGCTATTAACCACAACTGAAAGGCGTACGTATTGGATTCTCGTTTCTGCAAACAAGAGCGAGATAAGAACGAGGTGGCGGATTAATCGTCACAAGCCCAAAATAGGATTTACCAACTGTAGGCCCCCTTATTAATTATATGGTTGCTAACAATGAATTGTGACAATCAAACGAAATGGAGCTGTCGAGTGTTCTCCTTTTTAAAGAGAAAGATTAGGTTACTTCAACTGGTAAAAGATTGATTAGGTTTTCGTCTAGTATATAAGTGAATAAATTTAACAAACGCTTGAGTATCATATCGCATGTACACAGTGGAAAGTCAAAAGACAAAACGAGTTCATCAAATAACATCTGCACTAAAATTTCCAGCCTTGCTTCCAAAAACCAATTATGATTTTGCACCAAATCCAAGAACGGTCAAATAATTGTATACTTGGGCTTGTGACCGATTATCAATTCAGCTTCGACCCATCAGCGCCTCTAATGATTCATCGCCTATTTTTAATGTAAGCACCAAACTGCTTGAAAATCCGTACCCCTGAACCAATTCTTACTTCCTGGCATTATATAATTAAAGCCGATTCTAGTCAAATAATGGGGCTATAATGAAGATTCATATTTAGCAATTCCAACAGTTAAACTATATAATTTAGTCAAAGAAAAATAGCGCAATATTACAAAAAATAATAGATCAGAGTACGTCTTTACTAAATGAAGACGGAATAGAAAATGGAACAGGCGGATAATGAGAACAGGTCTTACAGGCAACTAAAAAATAAACTGGCAAATGTAACACCGAAGTGTGGGACTCTTCATCGATGTTCAAATAGAAATCCTGCTATAGAACATTACTCACGAATATTTAGCTATTAATATTCATGCGAATTATGCTAGACTTATCTGATAACTAATCGCTTTGCCAAAAAACACAAGTTGCTATCCTTATCTGGTGAATAAACGTTTCTGTGATACGTCTCTTTCTGGAGACTCAGTAATTAGGAGAATCTACCCAAAAGGTTCCCGAGATTTAGGTCAGGCCTTACTAGCGTAGCAATCCGCTACAATTGGTGACCCTGACGTGATCCAAGCCTGACTACATCCGCTCAGCAGTAGTACAACCTCACTTTGGTGATACGAGTTTATTTGTCCGCTTAATCGTACCCGGACTGTCAACCTCTATCCAACTCTCTCTTCATTCTTTCCTATTTACAACATTATGCCCAAAGAAACAGAAAACAACCAATCTACTACCATCCCGAACTGGCCGACCTTTAATCCCAGTTGTGCAGAAACCTGGTTTGTTCAGTTCGAAAATACTCTCAGGATTAGTGGTATCTCAAAACGTACCAACTGGTTTGTTCACCTAACAGTAGCACTACCAAGTGATATCCTACAATCATTTCAGGATCTAGTTACTAGAACGCCAGACAACAATTCATATGATCTGCTCAAACAGGCTATCATTGGACACCTTCTGCAGAAAAACGTATAGAAAATTTCTTTACAGAATCCGAATGCTAAGAGAACTGTGGTTAGATAGACTTCCAGAACACCTAGTCACCCAACTATTGGCTAGCCCCTATCAAGACGACCTAGACAAATTGGCTGAAGTGGCCGACCGCATTCATCGACGTGGTAGTAGACCTAGGGTCCACACTGTAAGGACTTCAGCCCCATTTGACCGTATGTCGCAACGATTAGACAACCTTATAGACCAGTTACAAGAACTTAAAACAATCGTCTCAAATTTTTCTGCGCAACCCAATCGTCAACGCGCATTTTCATCCAGAAAACGACAGAATTTATCAGAAAATGAAGACACTGTCTGTTATTATCATCGCACCTACGGCGATAACGCAAAAAATGTACCCCTTGGTGTCAATACCCCAAACGCCAACCACGCAGCCTGGCGGGAAAAGAACACGCCAGGCAGTAACGGCGACGCCTGATCCTGGCAGATACCCTAGTCGCCTGCTATACATTACAGAAAAGAATTCCGAACTTACATTTTTGGTGGACACAGGCTCTGAAGTCAGTGTTATTCCGCGCTCTACAAAACAACGCTATACTCCAGCCACCAGGACCTCCCTCGTAGCAGCTAATAATACCCAAATACAGGTCTATGGACAAAAGTTCCTTAATCTGGACCTAGGCCTCTCTCGAGAGTTCCCGTTTACCTTCTATATTGCGGACGTCCAACAGCCCATCATTGGTGCTGATTTCCTCTCGAGATTCCAGTTATTAGTCGATCTCAACGACAACGCTCTAGTGGACAAGCTTACATCTATGCGCGTGACCGGCTCGAAACGGCCCTTAGGATCTGTTGGTTTGAACGGGCTCTTCCCGGTAGATAACTGCTCACTTTTCTGATCATTACGTGACTGAATATACGTGTTCCGAATTATCGTCTGTTTCCTTTATAGCTGGGCTATAGCTTAGCTAGTTTCGGTCTGTTTCCTTTATAGCTGGGCTATAGCTTAGCTGGTTCGATAGCTTAGCTTGTTCTGGGAGTCTAGCTAGATGTTGGAGAATTCTCCGTGCTACTCGTCTGTTTCCTTTATAGCTGGGCTATGGTTTAGCTGGTTCTGGGAGTCTAGCTAGATGTAGGAGAATCTCCCTGGTTCTGGGAGTCTAGCTAGACGTTGGAGAATCTGCCGTTCTGGGAGTCTAGCTAGATGTTGGAGAATCTGCCATGGATATTTCTGAGTCGGTCAGGCTTTACTAACGTAGCAATCCGCTACAGAAGCGTTACAAGGCAAAATTTAAAAATTTAACCAAATAAAAATTATTAACAAAGAGCTTTATATTTGAAAAACGAAGATCAATCAGTTCAGTATCAAAATAACAAAAATAATTCAACCTCCATGAAGCGTCGAAATAAAAGAAATTCTATCTCCTTCTTGAATTTCATATTCCTCTGCTCCATAAAGTGACCAATCAGCGTCATTTACAAGAACCAATATTCCCGGACGAATGGTTTCATTAGACATAAACAATTCAGGGCGCTCAGTCAACATTTTATTTTTAAGCCAAGGAAGAAGATCTTTGATAGTTTTAACTTCATGCGGTAAATTAGCTTCCTGGTCTTTTTTACCCCCGAAAAGAAGTTCCGCGCCTCCAGCAAATTCTAAGCCCACTCGCATGACTTACTCCGGCAAAAGCAACGCAAACAAATTACGCAATGAAAACTCAAGGTTGTTAAGACCAAGTAGATTCTTACTCGTTCTGGTAATACTTTTGCTGCGTTTTTGTGAATATATCTAAGTCAAATAAATCCTTAAATATAATATAGATAAAAGGTTTGATCTTTTAAATAATACCATGTACACAAGGTATAATATCAGGAGTTTAGAGGAAGTATTTTATAAATGTGCAAATATACCCACATGCAGGTAAGAATTTGACCAGAATTTATTATAGCTAAATTAAAATATACTATTTTTAATAAAAAGTGTCAAAGAAATGTAGTTTTTGTTTTTGAATATTATTATACAAATTATAGTTGCTCAGATATCCACTTATTTCAATGGTGTCAATGCTCTGACACAACGGCGAATCTCGTCATGCTAGATTGTTACACGCATACTAGATTCCAAGTGATTATTGTTGAGTCGAACTATAGAAAGGTTACGCAGGAATGAAGTTAATCCCAGCAATTTTTAATTCTACAAAATCTTTTTGAGGTTATTTATCGTTATTTCTGATGTGAAGATAGAAGTATTTTGTCTCAGACTGTAAGCTATCCGAAGAGAAGTACACATTTGCCTTGACAAAGATGATGATTGAATTAGGGACTATATTAGCGATTGATTTATTCCCATGCAACACAGCTATTCTCTTATCCTATTTGACTCCATTTAAACAGCTTTATCCGATGTTTTAAATAGTTCACCATTTGCAGAATAAATTCTGTAATATACCGTAATTTTAGAGTTTTCTTATACCTTGCATTAAATGCAACAGTAAGAGTTAGTTTTCAACATGCTGGAATCACTCTACATAGGAGCAGTGGTAATTATGGTGTAAGCTGCTAATATTTAAAAGCATGGAATAAATGTTTTAATTATATTCCTTCTCCCAATGGGTAATAATTCATTGTGTTTCGATCACATATTGACTTTTCAACCGAAATTGGCCTTTCAAATATCAGTCATGCGCAATCACCGATGGTTGTTCATGTCGTAACTTTGAAAAATATAAGTAATTGTACACAAATTTTACATTTAATTTGAACTTTATGTGTATTTTATCAATAGAATTTTCAAAGGGTATTTTAACGACTTGCATTCACTTTAGTTAAAGTGACACATTTTCTCACATAATGCTTATTTACGTGACTTTACGTGGTCTGCGTAAGCCATTAGTTACGGCAAAGATACTCGCGATTAATTGAATATCAGAAGTAGCATAGACTGAAATAACTACAGGTTAATTTCAAAGCTTTGCAGAAAGAAATTTACAATTTATAAAATATCTTGAATATGATATTATTAGCTTTTTTAAGAATACTCAAATATTCGGTATATTCTAACTTGTTTGATTTTTTTTAGAAAGCGTATATTCCAACAATACCTTACTCCGATATATTAGTTAAATCGGGAAAATTAAGTATATTGTTTCTAAAATATGAGTCATCTACTTTATTGAAATATGAAAAAATCAAGTTTCCTCTGTTTATTTCTTATTGCGAGTTTGTTGGGAAATTGAGAGTTTGGATAACCTCCTGTGGGACTCGTTATCGCTGTGTGCGTCATCGTATGTCCGCATGTCTGCTCGCCAGGATTGGGAGGTGCGGCCGTACAACTCTGTGTGCAGCGACCGTACAAACAGTGACCAATCATCAACCTCTGTTTAACCTAATCCCCCATCCTGATCATGAGTAGCTCCCTGCGTGTACACACTTGATCCGCAATATACGTCCTGAATAAATGTGCTCCTTACTACACGTCTGTTTCCTTGATGGCTGGGCTATAGCTTAGCTGGTTCTGGGAGTCTAGCTATATGTAGGAGAATCTGCCATAGAGATTTCTGAGTCAGTCAGGCTTTAATAAAGAAGCAATCCTTACATTATTAATTTGTGGAATGGTAACATTTTTAGGCCAAGATGATTACAAAGTTGTAAAGAGTTGTGTTCATTTGCTCCATAATAAAGATGGTTGTTTATTTTCAGAAAACCTACGGGATTTAAAATTATGCTATAATCCTAAGCACAGCAGTTTTAAGTTTTGTTTAGGCGCCTTCCTGCCAGTTTTCTATCCGAATTCAGTGCCGGGAACACAAAGGCAAATATTTGAAATCGGAGATAAAGATCTCTTTATCGGAATGAAGGTTAGGTGATCAATGAGCAGTTTGAGTTCTCCCTCTATCGCCAATTCGGACTTTTACAAGCACTCCACAGCCATCCCATTTTTACCTGGACTAATGAAACTGATGCTTAAGTTTAGTACGATAAAGAAAGAGAAATTTTGCTAGGTACAGGCATGAGATACAGCATTTTCAGGTCCATAATATAGCAATATAATACTCTCTTATTATTTAAATTTAATATCGTTGAATCTCCAAAATGACCACACCGATAGTTTATGCTAGAATCTGTCACCTTAAAGTGACCTACAACATTGAAATAGCCATGGTCACTCACTTTTATTTTATTTTAATAAATTTCTAGTTTTGGAAACATTGAATAGGCAATCACCAAAATTTACAAATGTATTTCGTTTTAATAGTCGTTCACTTCTGTTGTCTAATAAGAAATCAACAATACGAATATTTGGCAACTGGCATAAAACGCGCATTCACAACCCAAAACTATAACTATCTCAATTTTTTTCTTAAAAATGACCGAGAGGCCAAAAGGAACCTCTTCAAAATCCACATCGAAATCCATCAAGTTAACTCTATTATCACCACATTTTGATAAAGGGCAGATATGCACATCTCCTTACACCATTTCGTTCTTGAAACAAAATTAAATCAAATTTTAATTAAGTGGACCTCTTAAATTTACCCATATACATCGGCTTTTGCAGTCGAAGAATTTTTAAAAAGTAGGATTTTTGAAATAAAATTCAGCACAAGTGGCTTTTGGAGAAAATTTCCGCATCTGGTTGCTATTGGGAAGTGAAATGCGTTTCGAAGACTCATATGCCAGCAATCACCTGAATTTTGCTTAAGCATTTAAATAAAAGATAAATAGACTAACAATTATTTTTTAGAGATATTCCACTTTTTAATCATACTTTGTCTTGATCATTTAATTGAAAGTATTACTAAAACAAATGCAACAAAATTGGTCCAAACTTCTTATTTAATATCGCCTTCTTCGCATCAGATATGGGGTATTTCCAAGGGAGAATTGATCTAGAGCTCACCAATCAATTAAACTTTATAGATACTAACATTTGACTGCTATTTCATCATTTGTTTAGACTAATCGAAATCATTATTCATACTTAACTCCTTTTCATTCAGAATAAATGTTTAAATACTTACTATTTGTTTGCTTATTTAAACTTTATAAACTTGCTGTAGTGCGGTTGCATAACCTCGTGGTAGTTGGAATTTGTTTAAGTTTAACTTACTAAGGGTAAGACCGATCGTTAATTTTAAATCTCGAGAGCTTTATTGAAAGCTAATCGATAGTGTTTAAAAAGGTAATATGAGGCACAAGTCATTACAGATTTTTGATTCGATTTTAACCCGAAAGATCACACACAGAGGGTTTCTAAACGCCTACGAAAGAATGGACCATTAGATGGAATTGAAATAATAGCAATACGTCATTAACGAAGTTATTTCCACCTTATGGATCATCTATGACAGTAAATTGAAGAGACTGTTATTTCATTCATTTGCCTATTTATATAATTTACATAAATTCATGGAATGATTAAAAGGAAAGATGGAAGATTGGTTATTGAAGGAAAAGGCTAATAGAGCCTGGAGAGACAGTCCTCAAGCTGCCTGTTTTATGCTAAATAAAATAAGATTTAGGAACTCACTTAAACAAGGATTCAGAGGTATACTGAATGATCGAGACTCCCTAAATGATATCTGCCGTACCTTCTGTATTTTTACATAAAAAATCGAAAATACAATTTTTTATTAATTCGCGTTTTTAAACACTCATGTCAAGGTAAAATGTTGGAAATGATCAGCTATAAACCAATAATAATGCTCAAAAAGGCATGGACCGGCCGATGTCTTTCCATACAATGAAGGCCTTAATCAGGAGAGAATTCAAGACCTCAAGGTGCAACGAACTTAAAGCTCTAACAAAGGAGAAACAGTGGACAGTGGCACTCTTCGACATAGTCGACTGACCAAGAATCGAAGCCGTTGCTGAGTTTAGACTATGTACCGCACACGATTGCTTGGCAAAACACCTTCACAGATTGGGAGTATACACTCAACCCACATGCCCCTATGTAACCTACAGGAGGAAATGAAGGAGACCCACCTGATTCGATGTCCAGCCCTAAAGACAACGACGGAAAGCC